CTCTCTCACTGTCGCGAATGTGCACTCAGTATACTTGCAGTCCAGTACTGTACTCCACGTGCGTGTACACTCACACTGTACAGAGTGTGCATTATACTCAGTGTTTCCACACGACCAAAAAAATAATCCCGCTTACTGGGTCGAGAAATCCCGTTTTATCCCGCTTTTAAATTGTGAAAAATCCCGTTTTATCCCGCATGATTTTTTTGTACAATACCTAGTATTATACTTGACGTATCATGTTTATAAGGTTTTTTAAACACCACTATTATAATTTGCTACAGTATTTAATCAGTTTGAGTTAGTTTTTCTCTAAAATTAACTAGAAAAAAATCCAAATAGTCGTTACAGCCGAAAATCCCGTTTTATCCCGCATCCCGTTTTAATCCCGCTCAAGGTCTAAATATCCCGTTTTCGGGATAATAATCCCGCGAATGGAAACACTGATTATACTAGCTCTCTCACTGTCGCGAATGTGCACTCAGTATACTTGCAGTCCAGTACTGTACTCCACGTGCGTGTACACTCACACTGTACAGAGTGTGCATTATACTAGCTCTCTCATTGTCGCGAATGTGCACTCAGTATACTTGCAGTCCAGTACTGTACTCCACGTGCGTGTACACTCACACTGTACAGAGTGTGCATTATACTAGCTCTCTCACTGTCGCGAATGTGCACTCAGTATACTTGCAGTCCAGTACTGTACTCCACGTGCGTGTACACTCACACTGTACAGAGTGTGCATTATACTAGCTCTCTCACTGTCGCGAATGTGCACTCAGTATACTTGCAGTCCAGTACTGTACTCCACGTGCGTGTACACTCACACTGTACAGTGTGTGCATTATACTAGCTCTCTCACTGTCGCGAATGTGCACTCAGTATACTTGCAGTCCAGTACTGTACTCCACGTGCGTGTACACTCACACTGTACAGAGTGTGCATTATACTAGCTCTCTCACTGTCGCGAATGTGCACTCAGTATACTTGCAGTCCAGTACTGTACTCCACGTGCGTGTACACTCACACTGTACAGAGTGTGCATTATACTAGCTCTCTCACTGTCGCGAATGTGCACTCAGTATACTTGCAGTCCAGTACTGTACTCCACGTGCGTGTACACTCACACTGTACAGAGTGTGCATTATACTAGCTCTCTCACTGTCGCGAATGTGCACTCAGTATACTTGCAGTCCAGTACTGTACTCCACGTGCGTGTACACTCACACTGTACAGAGTGTGCATTATACTAGCTCTCTCACTGTCGCGAATGTGCACTCAGTATACTTGCAGTCCAGTACTGTACTCCACGTGCGTGTACACTCACACTGTACAGAGTGTGCATTATACTAGCTCTCTCACTGTCGCGAATGTGCACTCAGTATACTTGCAGTCCAGTACTGTACTCCACGTGCGTGTACACTCACACTGTACAGTGTGCACGCAAAAGCGGAAAGTGCAACGAGGTGTGTCATTCGTGTCCGGCGACACACACACAGGCCTACAGTAGAAGTACACAACCACACAACACTACAGTGAAAAGAGAATAAGTATTTAAATTGACAAGGGAAGATTTCTGAAGCATAATATTTAGCTTGGCAGAATAAAACAACTTTTTATACAGGAGGGCATATGCACTTGCTTGCATTACACTGGAAAATGTCCTTCCTTTGACTGGTCTACAACATTAATGTTCAGATATAATTCCATTTTGGAAACGTGGCCTTAAAATAGTCACATTAAATTTGTCTTATGGCAACATCTGCATTAATTTTGTAAGATATAAGCGTATATATTTTTTACCTAACCCGCCATGTTAAACTTACCTATCCCAAGCGTGATGTATACAACTTCTTTACTTCTCGAGTGATGTAAGTTGAAAAAACTTACTCAGTGAGGTAATGAAACCCATTTAAATAACATTGAGTGCTTAAAACCTCTATGGAGCTAACGACGTTTAACGCTAGAAATCATCTGTGCGCTTGAATCTTATTGTTATGCTTTGAAGAATTTTCCTATCCTAGCTTTTGTTTGTAAATTAACGTTACTGTTAGAAGATAAGTGAAATGGATAATGAAAAATATTGTACGTAACCCCCTGTATATTGTCCGGTCGGGTAAAATCTGGTACGTTACACGTTAAGCAAGAGCGTGTTTACATCACTTTGGTAAATTATGCAACTCGATTCCGCTCGTTGCGCACAACGTTCACCTGCGTTATGTAAAAACGCTCTTACTACCCTTGTAAGATAAATAGCTATTACACTTTAAGGGGTTTCTGTCTCAACTCACATAACTCCTCAAAGTACAATAAAACAACCTACTCATTTACCTATTTCTACTACTAGTGGGGTCGTATAGCTGCATATAGTGGCAGAATATTTCAGTTCTGGCAGACAGGCTGCAATTTTAGGTGGTTATAGTATACAAGTTTCTGAACCTAAAACCGCCCAGACCCCAATTTTTAAGGACCTTGGTCGCCCGTAATGACGTCATCAAAATGGCGGCCGTAAGAGGATACTGGGTCCCCATGAATTGGCTAAACGACCGAATGCCTGAACCGATTTCCATGAAATTTGGCACACAAGTGTTTGAATACATTATCTCGACCTGGGTTGAAAATGGTCAAGTTTCATCAAGTAATTTCAAAATGGCGGCTGATCAAAACTATTAAAAATTATTAGGAAAATAATTGTGAATTGGTTTATACAGGGAGAGTTTTAAAAGAGTTCCCCCCCTACTTTTTTATACATTTCTTAAGATATCAACTTTGAACCATGTAAGATCATTGTAGAGTAGTAAGAACTTCATTTTGACTGGTTTTACATTTTTGGCCGCCATCTTGGATCCGCCATTTTGGAAACAAAGTTATTTTTCAAATGTAAAGATAGGGTTGTGACCCACCGTTTCAAACAAAACCTTTACGCTGAATACGATGCTGCAATCCGTTAAAAAAAAATGTTGATCCATTCTAAAATTATGAGAACATTTTATAACTTTATTTTTTGTCCATTATAACATTATGGATTTACAAACTAAGGCCATAATCTCAAAATAGTGCTAGATAAGGATAAGTGGACACCACCATTCATTGTTGACCTATTTTAACTCGGTTATGACGGATGTATTTTTTCAGCCGCCATCTTGGATCCGCCATTTTGAAATGTGATAAATTGTTTTAAATATGAAGGTGGTGTTGTGACCCATCATTTTGAACTACTTTTTATGTTGAATTCAATGCCGCAATCCGTTTTTCATTGTCATGTTTGGTTTTTGAAATATTGACATTTTAAATAAAAATAATTGTTATATTTTATCAAGAAAGCTTGATAACGAAAAACGGATACAATAAAAACTAGTCGAAATGAAGTAATCGCTACTCTACAATTATCTGACGTGGTTTGGAGTTGATATCTTAAGAAATGTATAAAAAAGTAGGGGGGAACTCATTTAAAACTCACCCTGTATAAAACAATTCACAATTATATTCCTCATATTTTTTTAGTTTTGAATGGCCACCATTTTGAAATGACTTGATGAAACTTGACCATTTTCAACCCAGGCCGACATAATGTATTCAAGCACTTGTGTGCCAAATTTCATAAAAATCGGTTCAGGCATTCGGTCGTTATAGCCAATTCATGGGGACCCAGCATCCTCTTACGACCGCCATTTCGATGACGTCATTACGGACGACCGAGGTCCTTAAAAATTGGGGTCTGGGTGGTTTTAGGTTCAGAAACTTGTATACTATAACCACCTAAAATTGCAGCCTGTCTGCCAGAACTGAAATATTTTCCTGCTACCCAACCTGACTATACAACATTCCCGACATAAAGCAAACTGGCTGTAACTAAAGTAGTCCAGAAAACACCAAATGCATGTTTAGTGGTTCTAGAACAAAACAAAAACGAATATTCTTTGATCCTGAGAATTAGCAAGAAGGAAAACTAAAGAGTGCCGGCGCGGCGCAGCAGACGGGCCTTGTAGGGCAGCCGAGGCCAGATATGGCAGACACTACATTGAAATGCGACCAGCGACCATCGCCACGATTGTTCTGGGTAGGCTATTTATAACACGGTGGAACGATGAAAGTGTAGAAAGCGAAATGACCACTGAGATGCTGGGCAATGGCCACCGTAAATATCCGCTGGAACTGTTAGTGGCCAGTTGAGGTCAGCGGTCAGTTCTAGGGTATGTAGTCGTAAAATTGATGTACGTATTGCGACTAAATTGAGAGGTTATAAACAATAAATTGCAAATAGGAAATACATGTATTACGTATTGAAAATTGTAATTCGATTTTTATTTAGAACCTATTAAATAACTCTCAAAAATGACACAATTTTAAAATACATTTTCTATCAGGTAAGTGTATATCTCTTTAAGATTAATCAGTAAAATATGGACGGTTTGCTTTACTTAAACCTGTAATCATGCAAAGTGCGTTTCGAAACAGAGACGTAAAGCTAGAAAATTGTTGGATCAACTCAACACCTCAGAGCAAGGTGATGACCGATATTCATACAAGTGTTGTCAGTGGAACCTTGAGGTTGCATCAGAGACGTCAGTCGCAGGAAGCGCTCCAAGACATTACACGGTTGACAGCCCGCGAAGACGGTGTAGGTCCTAGCTCGGGACAATCAGAACACAAGTAACTCCGTCATATTATAATTTGATTGATCCATTCGATGAACCTAGCATTCAACTTCGGTGATGATGTTTGAAGGGACTAAATACAATTTAAACTCAGTAAAATGAATGTAGAAAGAACATGTGACACATAAGGAACACTAAGTCAAACAAATAGTGGAATCTGATTTGATGCATCAATTCATGACGAGTAAAATAATGTAATTGGACGACATTTAATTGATCTTTTTCGGAATACAGGAAACAAAATTCAGGTGCTATATAATATGATTGTTTACATTTAGAATGGCAGTAACATAGATTAAAATGGCAGAGGGATTTCAAGGTTAAGTACAGCAAACTTACCGATGAGTTTCTGGGCAACAGTCGGACACCTCCTTGACATTTTGGAGTTAGGGAAAGTCCTCCTAGGAGCTCAACACTTGCACAATCCGTCTGGTCCTCAGAGTCCGTAAATGTAGTAGGGGAATGTGATGAGGATGTCGTGGAAAGACTCTCACTCTTCCTCGGTTCCGACGAGGAGGACGTACTCCTGGAAGGGTTCTTCCACACGTGACTAGATGAGGTGAAGAGTGGCGACTCGGCGGTCGTAGAAGCGTCACTGTTGGGTCTAGAGGACGACGCTGAAGAGCTGGAGTAATCCTGGGGGAACCCCGAGGTCGACGTCGACGAGTCTATCTTGGACCGACTCCGGCTCGGGTCGGGGATGAGCCCTACAGGCTCCCACACCTCACTAGTCGTGCTGGTGTAGAAGTTGTCCTCTTTGGTCTCCCTGGACCTCTCGTCCACCACTTGTCCTCCTCGCGACACACTCACTTCCTCCCTCGTCACAACACTACTCTTGACACTCAGGCTCGTCTCCAGCCTCACCGGCGCCCGCAGGATCCCCGCCCGCACCAGGATCTGGTTGAGGAGGTCGCAGTGAGGGACTGTACCGTGCAGCAGCGCCTCCCTGATAGCGGCACCGTCCTCGCCCTCTAGCTTGATGGGACATCCGTTGACCAGCAGCACCTCCTCTTCCTTGACACAGGACTTCTTCTCACAGTCCACCACCTTCACCCCCTTTCCGAGGATACTCTCCACGGTCTCCTGTATCTCCGTGTCATCCATCGCTACAACTCAAGTCAACGGCTACATGCTGTCAAACTCCAACCAACCTAAAATGCAATCAAGTTGGTTAGCGAAAATGCAAACATTTAAATACACTTAAGAGAAAATTTAGATTTGGCGCAGAAAGAACCATCTTGCCGATTCATCTAATTCAGTTTATTATGTTTCAATATTTTGAGTATATCTACGAGGGAATGTGTTTTGAAAAAAAAAAAACATTTGTGTATTCAAGACTTTTAAAACAAAGAAATGTGCCAACATGCATTTAAAACACAGTTAGTTTTTTATGTAACACTCGATTTATGGTGTGGCCATTTTATTTATGCTGCATTGATCGACAAACGATGAGGGGGTTAGAGTATGATAAATAATGGTGTTATAAAAGAATATTTCATCGCTGACAAGAAAATTGAATCGATTGAGATAAATGCCCGGAGACGTGGTTATTTGACGGTAATGTCTCAGCTGGACGTGAGCCAAGAGGTTGTCGCGTCGCCACGCGCCTGAGGTTCTCACTATACTGTATAGACACACATACACACGTTCACGTATGTTACACGCGAAAACATGCCACATTCCGTCACATATAAAGTGCCAAACGGAGCTCTCGACGTGACCAGCGGAGCAATAGGTTGGAAAGTCCTCACAACCATGTAGAATTTTAGATAATACGCATTTTTTAATGAGTGATATTTTAAACAGCCTACACTCATACATTTAGTTACAGTATTCTTCTTTTTTGTACAATGCTTTTTTGTGGTACGTCTTTTTTTTGCAATAATTTGAAGGATGAAATTTTAGATGAAGAAACAAATCCTCTTTGAAAATAAACGGCAATACAAAGAGCATTGGTTATGGAGAAGGGATGTTGTCACTATTTTTATTTCTGACCAAATGGAGGCCTAGACGGTCCAAGAACATCAAGTGACAGAATAAGGAATAACGATGTTGTTAGCCGGTCCCGAGTGGACGATGACGACTTGGGTTCGAGAGTATTTGACGTTCAATAGCCCTACAGTCTCTACACTCCACACTCCAGACCTCGGCCTCTTGAGCCACTTGAGACAGCTGATGAACACTCGCACGTTGTACCGCGATCGTATCAAACATCACGACTACAATATTGACTGTTGAGGCACTGCGACATTTGTTTACAACAGTTGTAATTAAATGCTGTGACGAGAAGTTAAATGTTCCACTTCCACAACTTACAGTCCTGAGAACTAACGGAGCAAAGGCTTAAGGTTTAATTAATTAATAGACGTATCACAACTACTGCGGTTGTATGAGGCAGCGACCGAAGTTAATGAAAGCAGACGGTGAGAATTGGGGTGGATTGTAATCTGTGGTTAAGGGTGGAGAGACTCTGAGAGTGAGGAGGGGGGGAAGGTAAGTTGAACCTCACTCTGACTGAAGTTAACAGCTGTTTCAAACCCGTCTGAGGAGATTACTTCCTTATTGTTTAAAGTAAAACCTCTTAAAGAAATAAGCATTCGAGTGTCACGAAGGAGCTTTACTTCTCAACACTTAATATTACAATGTTTATTTTCTCGTTTTACCTGTTTAAGCATTGTTATTCACTCGGTTGTTTTCATATAATTTTATTAAATATAATTCATACTAATTACGTTGTAGGTAGAAGTAAGAAACCTAAAAACAAAACATAAATGCAATTTTAAACAATTTTTACAAAGTAATAATTCCCTGATCATTATTCACGGGAAAATTATTCCAACGTTCCGGGACTTCTGAGTACCAAACTTATATTTCGCACGTCGTAAGACCCTCTCTGGCGAAAGGAGGGGAAAATTGATTTTACAATCAGAATCGTTTTATAAAGCCGCGGAGGAAGTGCGTATCGTATTTCTATATGAATAAATTATTTTCGAGAGCCTGAGGGGCGACTCCCCTAGCGCGTGGCACCCTCGCCAGCTGTGAGTCACTGTACCGGAGCCACCCGGGCCACCCGGCCATGTACTGTACACAATGTCTACGTTGGTGCTTATACAAAACAAAATACAGATAATTAGATATTAATAACAACTACTATATACTATAATGTACAAGCAAATTATAAGGGTTTCACACATAGTAAACTTCTGCGGTTTTAAGAATTGACACTACGGCCTTTCTGTGATAATCAAGATGTAAAAAATTCTATGTAAACTGAAAGCGAACTTTTAATGATTCCTACAGAGGATCGTTGTGATATAACACGTACTTGAGTATGTGTATGTTATTCATTACGTCCCACTAATTCAATATTGTTATCAATCACTTTAGTCTTTGATATACTGTAATCGTTACTTGGAAATGCAAACGTACTTTGTTTATAAATGGCATTTTCAAATAGTTTACTTTAACAAGGTGTTAATGTTATAAAAGTACATCTTTAAATTTTTAGGGCGCCTCTAAACAATGTTACAATCGTATAAGTTTAAATAACCATCTTGATTGATTTGACCATTGACTATAGTCAATGATATAACCCTTTGATTATACAATAAACTATACACGGCGAAGCCATAAAAAACAAGTTTATAAACAAATAATAAATACAGTATGGATCAACAAATTATAATTGAGTTAAACAGTGTGATTGGTACTCAGTGTGACAAAAATTTTTTGGTGTAAGTACAAAGTAAATGCAGTATGATGATGCATTTAAAATGTTCCAAGTCTATAAATTAGCTTCCCAAAGAATTATTTTATGTTTTTCAAAAATAACTATGTTTTTAAACTTAATACAGCTATTTCTCAATTACCTGTAAATGGATTTGAGTAGATAATGTCATTTTCGTGTTCTACGTTACATTTTGAATAAGAATAATACAAAATGACAGAGGATCAGTTGTAAAAACTCCATTGTAAATAGATTCAAAGATAAAAATTAAGATGTTTGATAAAAATGTAAAAAAACATTGGTCAATTGGATTAGTTCACACCCTGTATACAAGAAAGTGTCGAAATATGTTAAAAACTGCGCCATTTTATAACCTTTCCAACAATATGCTACACCATTGAGCTTTATGTCTGCTTATGTACGCTTTAGTGGTTTGAAGGCTACAAAGTATGGTGTCTTAAACATTTAAAACATAGAAAGTCGGCATGTATTAAGCAAAAGTTGTATTTTTGTTTCAGCTTGAACAGTAAAACAGTAAAAAAGTTCCCTGTTTTCTGGCATTCAAACCACTAAAACAAACAAAAAAAATATCTAAACCTCAATAGTGTAGCATATAGTTGGAAAGCTTATAAAATGGCGCAGTTTTAAACATATACCGACACATTCTTGTATACAGGGTGTAAAAAATGCACCAGACCATTGTTTTTTTTTTTTATTTTTATCAAACATCTTAATTTTTATCTTTGAATCTATTTACAATGGTGTTTTTACAACTGATCCTCTGTCATTTTGTATTATTCTTATTCACAATTTAATGTAGAACACGAAAATGACATTATCTACTAAAATCCATATACAGGTAATTGAGAAATCGCTGTATTAAGTTTAAAAGCATGGTTATTTTTGAAAACATAAAATAATTTTATATTAAATGCAGTTATGACTTGGTTTATTGTGCTAATAGTACTCTAGTTTGGTAGTTTAGTAACTACATTTATCTCGCCAATTGTCCACAATATCACAAATAATCATTGGAACCAACTGCTTGTTATAATAGCACACACGGCCACCCGAGTTGACGATAGTGTAATTATAACCTTGCTCGTATTACAGCAGCCATTTAACGTTAATAGGTAATTACATAAACTCTACCTACCCATCGACGAATACGTGGCTTCACGAATAAAAACAATTTGAAGAGGGAATGGAAGATAAAAAAGTTTAATGAACAGATCTAAATGCATGAAGTGGTGGTTTAGTGTCGTGGACCAGAACATGGAGTATCGTGGCCAAGTTATGGCTGTGACACAAAAACAAACTCGGACCCCAACAGACCTCGCAGTCCAAGGATAGTGTAGCATTCAATCTAGCTGCAGGCACCAACGTTCTTGATCGAATCCCTATGAAGGGAAGAGGTTATCACATTCATGATAAGAATGGGGTTCGCGTCCACTATACCACAGAAAACGTACGACTATACTTATCACATTTTGGGGTTGTTTAAATAAAAACAAATGGATCAAAAGTATAAATTAATAAACAACAACTCAACAACAAGAGAACAACTCACGTCTTGCGAACTAGCATACCTACTATGATAAGTGTTTCTACTTTAAAATCTTATGCTTTTTCATTTGTTTGACACAGCATTTTTTACAAGTCAATAATTCCTAAAAGACAAAAATTTGATATCCATTATAGTACAATCTTCTTTACAGAGATGCAGCATGCTATCCCTAATAGGTTGTTCCTAGCGTTTACACAGTAGCTCTTCTATAATTTGTTGAAATACTGTAGAATATTGAAAACCAAGCAAAATACAAAAACTATATTTAGAATGTAGGTGACTGTGACGGGAGCATTAGGCCTACTTATTTAAAATTTTAATCTTAAAAAAGTTTAGTGAACGTAAAGTTTGTTACCCGTACAATTATGAAAAACTGCATATATAAATGACGGTATTACATAGTTTAGGTTTATGGAAATTCTTTGCGTTGCAAAAATGCACAATTGATTCCAAAGCTCAATACGATTATAACACGACAGTACGACAATAGTATTATGATTTACATGTAGTTGACAGTGTCTGCGGCGTGAGCAATTAATTGAACTGCTTTACTACACTGAGATGTTGTTTCCTAGTCTTGTTTTCATTGTTGTACGATCAAGCCCCGCACTGTAGACCAAGGTACGGACGGTTTCAGGGAACGCTATGTTTGGAGGAGGCCTGGACAGTGTCTCACATTATCTAAACACCTTATCTCTGCTCTCTGCTCGTTGATGTTTGTAGACCAACACGCGCGCTCTAGCGCTACGAAACTATCCAAATTAATAATTCTATGAAACACTTCAAAGGATTCCAGCCGACTTCACCTCTTTACAATTACAAAATCAATAATTGACCATTGACCATCTTTTCTGTAC